GTTGCAACATATGTGTCTGGATACATTTCCAGAAACATGAAAGGTCATTTAATATCAGCTCTTAAAAAACCCTCATGACTGAGTGCCAAAGACAGGAACCCTGGTCAGCAAAGCTCCAGGGAAGGGGGGAGGGTGCTGTTTTAGAAACAACTTGCTGGCACTTTGTCAGGTTGAGCTGGCCTTTCATGGTGACCCTACACTGAGCTGTGCCAGAGACACAACAGAAGAGCCTTTTCACTGGTTAGCTACACTTCTCAGATTCTTAAAGGGCTTTATTCTCCCCACATTATTTTCTGCCATTATTCCTCACTTGCCACGCAATCAGGAGGAAACAGCCCTTCAAAGCACAGTGAAGCCACAGTAAAGCTAGGCAGTCTCTGGTGATCATAAGAGCCTTAAATCCTTTGGAACAAAGGGAACCCCTCACAGTAGCCTAAGAGAGACAGAACTGAAATACTAAGGACAGAATCCCAGGAGGTAAGATAGGCAGTAGACTCCAAGGTATTATATGCAATAAAACATAAAAAAACCCCTATAATTTTAATATTAACCTACTGTAGTTTTCACTTTAGGAGGAACAACAACATGCTTCGCTTCTGTAACAAGCTTTACTCACCCCTTGTTAAATTGCACAATAAGGCCATCTCCTTAGTGTAAGTTCTTATTCTGTGAACCATAAATATTCAGCTGTTCCTACAAAAATTGCACCATTCAAACCACAATGTGTAATCAAAAGAGCTTTAGATTCAGAAAAAACCCTGACACCATTAAATTGGCACAAAGCCAGTTTACTATAACCTCTGATTCCATGCCCTTTCACACCATTTCTGAAATGTGAAATCTATCCCCCTTCCTGCTAAGTCTAAAACAGGTCCTGAAGAGACATTCCCAACAGTCTAGGTTATAACCCCCTCCAGGGTTGTTAGGGCATGCTGTTGGAGCCGAAATAAATGCAGGTTCGTTTTTAATGGTGAAAAGCTATTTTACAGAAACAAACGAAAAAAAGCACATTATGGCACAAGAGGAAGGTCCACAAGGCAATACTTACAAGAGATCTCTCAGAGCAGTCTTAAAGATGATACGAAGAAACCTCCACCCTCCACTGCCAATGTAAATGCCCAGTGTGGCTGCCAGACTCCATGACCAGGGCACACCAAAAAATCTCATTAGCCCAAGAGAGCCCAGAGAAGCAGTATAAACCCCAACCATGCGCATCTAAGGAGGGAGAGAGATTTCAGAATCATCAGAGCCAAGCAGTCAACTCTGACCCCTTCGTGACCACCAGCAACAGGCAAGACACACATCCTAGCACTACTGAAACCAGCAGGAGCCACTGTTGTGCTCGCAGGACTCGCAGTTATAAAAAAAAGTTTAATGACTATCTGTCAAAACAGCAAAGCACAGGGAACAGGACTCTTTCAAATTAATTTCTGCAACGCTCAGTAACACATTTGGATTTATGATTTTTCTAGCCATTGTACATGTCAAAATGTAAAACCACGAGCCAGACTTGAAGTAGTTCTCTAAACCAACCAAACTTCCTCAGCCTGAAGAAGGGCATTTGAACCTGAAAGCTTGCAAAGAAGAATTTTTCCAACTATTGTGGTTGGTCTAATAAAAAAGAGTGGATTTACCCAAAGAACCTGGTCTGCCCTAGACAATGAGGAGGAGTTCTCAGACCCTGGACTAGGATCATACACCGCAAGGGCTGGACAAGACCTCAGGAGGGCACATCTAGTCCAACCCCCTGCTCAAAGCAGGATCAACCCCAATTAGATAGTCCCAGCCAGGACTTTGTCCAGCCAGGCCTTGAAAACCTTCAAGGATGGAGATTCCCCCACCTCTCTGGGTAACCTGCTCCAGTGTTTTACCACCCTCCTGTGGGAGTTTTTCCCCAATATCCAACCTAAACCTCCCTGGCTGCTACTGGAGAGGACAGCAGGCTGATCGCTGTGACTAGAACACCACGACAAGCCCCAATCCCTCGCTTTGTTTTCAGCAGTTCGTGAGAAACAGGTCGCAGGTGTGGATGTGGGGCCGGGCCGGGAAGGGGAAGCATCCCCCGGGGCAGCACGGGACCAGGCACCGTCTGCCTTAGATGCACCGCGGCGTAGGTGAGCTCTGCAGCCCCTCCGGCTGCTGCATTTGTCCCAAGAGACCCGGCAGGTCGCTCGACGGCCCCTGCCCCTTATCCCGGGACGAGCCCCCAGCAGGTCCGCGGGGAAAGCCGCGCTCTCAGCCTGACCCCGCGGGGAGCGAAGGCGGTAGGCGCCCGGCACCCGCCCCTCACTGAGCCCGGCACCGAGGGTGACGTGTGCACGCACCGACCCCGAGCCAAGGGCAGCGGCAGCTCCCCGCGCGCCTCGGCCCCCGCCCCCGCCCGCCGCTACCTTGTCAGCTGCAGAGTGTCCTGCGCGCGGGCCGCCCACCCCGGAAGTAGCGTCAGGCAGGGGGCGGGCCGAGCAGGCTCCGCCTCCCGCCGGGGCTGGAACCAGCGAGAACGCCAGGCCAGACAGGCCGGAACATAGAGAGCCCGAGGCTAGAGCGGCCGCGCTCAGGTCCGCCGGCAGGAGGCGGTGTGGAGCCGTGGGCAGGGTCTGAGGCGGAAGTAGGCGGAGCTGTTGGTAGAGCGAGGGGGTGTGGTTTATTGGACCCACTAGACCAGGGGTCCGCAACCTCCGGTACGCCTGTTGTGTGTGGTGCACAAGGGTATTTTGGTCGGCACACCACCGCCAGCCCGGGCTCTAAGCAGCTGCTGCCAGCCACGAAGCCCAGGCTGCTCCCAGCAGGTGGCTGAGAGGCTGCAAGCCCCGCTGCAAGCGGACCCGGCTCTGTGGGCCGGCTGCAGCCGGGAGGCTGCAAACACCTGCTCCGGGCTCGGACGTGTTGGCATTCCGGCACCTTCTCAGGTAGACAGTGTGGGTTTTTTCAGCAGCACTCCAGCCAAAAATCATTGCCTACCCCTGCACTGGACCGTTGCAAAAAAATGTCCTTATTTGCAAGCTTTTGGGCTCGTGTGCCCTTCTTCGGGCAAAGGAGAATGCAATGCCTGGGGAAGGGTGCGTGAGCCAGAAAGCTTGCAAATACTTTTTTTTGGCAACTATCTAGCGGGTTTAATAAAAGATATCTCCTCTACCAGGAGTTGTGACTGCTTTTTGCAGTTGCAAAGAGTGCATCTAGCTGCCTTTCTGCCCTGGTGCAGCAGTGACATAAGAAACTATTGTGTGACATCACACCCTGTCGCATGTCTTTGCTTTCTTAGCATCACACTGATCAATTGTGGATCTATGTACAACAATATTACAGATTCATGTCTTGATTTACTACTATATATGAATATTCTTTTATGTTGGTGGGCTCTATTTTTAATATAATATTTGTAGTTTGATTACTTTGTTCGAACTTATTTATATTATGGTTGTATGTGTGTTGTGTCATTTTCAGGAGCGTGGCATTTAGCCACAATTCTTAATAAATGGAATTGAACTGGTGCCACACTGCGTTATCAGGAAGGTGTGATGCCACCATGCCATGACGTCTTGCTGCATCCAGTCTAGGCACTGCTACGAAGCCCACAGTTCCCCTGGTTCTGTAGACGAGAAAAGGGCTTGTGCCCGGGGCAACTGGTTTGAAAGCAGGTTCCCGGAGATGGCTGCATTTGTAGTGCAAGCAGTGCCAGAGTACTGTCTCTGGGACTTTCCTTCAGTCCCATGGGTACTACTGTGTTTCACAGCATGTATCGCTACCAAGTTAGCAAAAAAACAGGATTTAAACAGGCTGCATCACTTGCCGCAGAGCTGTATGTTTGTGTACCTACTCAGTTCTTCGAAATAATTTTATAGGTAAAAGGGTCTGAGAGAACGTGCAACAAATTAAAGCATTGACAACAACTCAAGTGTCCAGCTTGTGTTATCTGGTCACATTCCCACATCTGCTTCTAAAAGACTTAGTGTTATAACATTTATGTTCAGAGAGGCTGTTTAGTCTTGGTTGCCAGGAACAGTTCATGCAAAATGAGCAGTGTATAGACAAGAAGCTCTTCAGGTTCCTTCTTCCTCTCTACTGGGTCACAAACTGTAAAATGGTTTCCAGCAGTTACTGAGCCCTTTGGATTTCCAGCAGCACTTTGCAAACTCCTACATCTTTTTTTTCTAATATATTCCTAAAGTATTTTTATGTCCTTATGCAACCCTGACTATTGTCTTCACTCCTTTCTGTTCAAAATTAAATTTGTTCCAAACAGATGATGCTGACCTTTCCCATAGTTCTGTTTCTACACGTTCATTTATGAGACATCTGGCATTATACCATCCTAATGAGAAAAAAAAAAGTTTTATATTTCTGCAAGTCCCACATGTTTGATTCAGAGAAGCAGTTTGAGAGGCACATACTCTGTGAGAAATACAGCAACATCATTGAGCTGCATTCCATTGTTCTTGCATCCTATGTGACTTCAAGTAAACTATGATATGGTGGATGCACCCCTCATTTGGGCACTATTCTGTGTAAGTTGTAGTATCTGTGAATATGTAGGAAGTATAATGTGCGTGCATTAAACAATGTTTCAAAATACTTATTTTGATTTATCCATCAAACACTGGGTTGATTTTCCTGCCAAAGTTACTGATATCACAAGAGCCTGAAGCACTCTGTTCTGCATTCCTTCCTCTGTATTAGGCTTATCTGAATATGAGGTTTTGCAGATCACTGTAAAAGAACAGATTTTCCAGTAATTCAGGCTTCATTCCCCAGTATCCCCAGTTACAGAGTATATGTTGTAGCAAGGTTCCCATTCTCTCCTGCTTTTTGGCAATAATCATCAATGTTCCCTCCAAGCTGTGCATGTGTACGGCCATGCACAATTAAAAATCTTGCCACGCACTAACTTATTAATGCCGTGCACCCGTCCAGAGAGGAGCTGGGTGCAGAGAGTGGTAGAGGCACCAGGGCCAGCGTGGGACATTTACCAGAGGTAAGCTCAAGCAGCGGCTTCTCCCCAAAGTGAGGTGGGGTTGGGGATGGGGGCTGGGGCTGGGGCAGAGCGCGTCCTTGCTCCCCAAGGCAAGGCGGGGACGGGGGCTGGAGCTCAGGGCTGGCGCCGGGCAACTACTCCTCTCCCCAGCCATAGATCCTCCAAGAAAGGGAGAGAGAAGCTCTCTAAGACTAATAGCAGTCGCTCCTTGCAGACCAAATATGTCCCAAGTGTCTTCTCTGCAGCAGCTCCTCCATGGGTATCCCTGCCACCCCAAATTAAAATCATCTGAGATCAAAGAGAAGATTTGCTGTGCTGCAATCAGAGGCTCAAGTGAGGTTTGCATAATGCAGGTGGGGAGAGACTGCAGGACTCCAGGGATCTGCTCTGCTCCCCAGTCCCGACGCCATGTGCCTCCTCGCTCCCCAAGGCAAGGTGAGGTGGGAGCTGGGGGCTTGTTCATTTAGGAATCACACAAAGTCTGTTATCTTCTCGCTCTCAAAATTGGGAAATAGTCCTGTTCCATGGAAACGGGTTAGCTGTATTTATGTCCATCCATCCATCCATCCATAACCTGCCATAACAAGGGAAAGGTGACCGGAAAAGACATTTGCACCCCACACACATTTCCCTTAATTAGATAAATTTACGAAAATGTAAATGATCACACCTTTAAAAAAAACATACGCATAGACTAAAATTATAAATGAAAATCTTTTATTAGCTTAGGTGAATACAGGAATACCACCAAAAAGCTTCTGAATAGTAGCCAAGAGCAAATACTGCCTGAGAATACCAGCCATGGTTCTGAATAACAGTGTGCACCGAAAGGAGGAGGTGGGACCAAAGTGGCATGCTCACAGACTGAAGCAGCGTGCTCACAGATTGCTACACCTTAGAGGGAACATTGATAATCATCAGTGAACCTGCTTTACCACCAGCAAATTATCAGAATTTGTAATCATGGTAGGTCTTGCTGAATACCTGTTATAGTTTATTAGCTATTCTGGATAGTTAAGCAGCAGCCCCTGCATAATGCAGGTGGGGAGAGACTGCAGGACTCCAGGGATCTGCTCTGCTCCCCAGTCCCGACGCCATGTGCCTCCTCGCTCCCCAAGGCAAGGTGAGGTGGGAGCTGGGGGCTTGTTCATTTAGGAATCACACAAAGTCTGTTATCTTCTCGCTCTCAAAATTGGGAAATAGTCCTGTTCCATGGAAACGGGTTAGCTGTATTTATGTCCATCCATCCATCCATCCATAACCTGCCATAACAAGGGAAAGGTGACCGGAAAAGACATTTGCACCCCACACACATTTCCCTTAATTAGATAAATTTACGAAAATGTAAATGATCACACCTTTAAAAAAAACATACGCATAGACTAAAATTATAAATGAAAATCTTTTATTAGCTTAGGTGAATACAGGAATACCACCAAAAAGCTTCTGAATAGTAGCCAAGAGCAAATACTGCCTGAGAATACCAGCCATGGTTCTGAATAACAGTGTGCACCGAAAGGAGGAGGTGGGACCAAAGTGGCATGCTCACAGACTGAAGCAGCGTGCTCACAGATTGCTACACCTTAGAGGGAACATTGATAATCATCAGTGAACCTGCTTTACCACCAGCAAATTATCAGAATTTGTAATCATGGTAGGTCTTGCTGAATACCTGTTATAGTTTATTAGCTATTCTGGATAGTTAAGCAGCAGCCACTATATCAGTTTTAAAAGATTAAAGATGACTTTGCAGAGTTTGAGTCCTCAGTTTATTAATAGCTCAGTAGATGAAATACAACAGACAGATTATTGGATTTACTATAAACTCAACCAACCCTTCAACCTAGTAGCAAGACTGAAGCATTATCTTCAGTTTTATGATGCAGACAACATACAGAAGGAAAGGTTCTAATGACAAACACCTGTAGGCAAACTTCATGAGCCACACAAAAAGACAGACTCTGAAGAAACTGCACAAGATTTCCTTCGCACTGAGTTTCCAAATACCAGAATGGAACTGTGCCTTGCAAAACCTCCAAAATGGATTAATTATTTAACTAACAGTATCAACCTGAATGCCTAGCCTTAGCTATGGCTTCCCTTTTTACTGGGAAGATCCTGATTGTAAACAACAAGGACTGTGATGAGCTGGACACAGAGCATGAACTTCGTCGAAGGTTGGAAAACAAAGTGATGCTGCTTTATTTTGGATCTGGTGAATGTCCTCGATGCCAGGAATTCTCTCCGGTCCTCAAAGATTTCTTTGTGAGACTCACTGATGAGTTCTATGTGGAAAGAGCTTCCCAGCTGGTCCTGGTGTATGTCTCTCAGGATGAAACAGAGAAAAAACAAGAAAAGTTCCTGAAGACCATGCCAAAAAGATGGCTGTCCCTGCCTTTCCAGGATGAGTTTAAAAGGTAAGAGCTTGATAAAGCAATAAGATAGTAATAAGTACCCTTCTGAATTTTTTTTCCAGATGCTGTTATTTCTTCCAAACTTTTAAATATTTCTATTATTATCCAAAGCCTCGCATTACAGCATCAGTGTGTCATAAAGTCTGGTACAGGGCAAGTTATTCCTGTATGCATTATCAAACTACTCCAGGGTGTGTGTTAACTATATTAAGTGAACACAGATATTCCCTGTCTTGGATCCTATAATGTAACCAAGCATAGTTAACACTGCAGATACATAGATGACAGCAGTACTTTGTGCTTCTCTCTCAGAAGGTAGGTCATCTTTTTTTCTATTTATAGATGGAGAAACTGAGGTCTGGAAAAGGAAATGACTTGCCCAAGGCCTTGCAGGGATAGAGTCTTGCTGATAGAGTCAGAAAAAAATCAGAATTTTGAGTTCTGACTCCCAGTCTTAATATTAGTCCATCACACCCACCTTTTCCTCACAAAGCTGAGGCTTTGATCTCATCATAACTTATTTTAAACATGTACTTGGTGGATATGTATCAACTGGCTTCATGAAAGAAGTTATTTCTAAGGATTTTTTGAACAAAACAAGACCAGCTCCTACAGAGTAGTGGGGACAGTCATAAGGGAAAGACTAGAAAACACCAGAGTGCAATGAGGAAAGTGCAGGAAAAGCAAAGGCAACAGGAAAAGATCTGAACAGATCACCACCAGTGCTGTCTACAACACAGACCATTCTGGGTGAAAGGCAGCATGTCCAGATATCTGAGCAGAGGACCTGGGATCTCTTCTCATCTTCCACTGGCACGCTGGTTGAGAATTGCCCTTACAGACTCCTGTTTATTTCTTGTTCTTAAAAGGATCCAACAAAGAGATTGTCCCTATAGGCTGTAAGAAAGACATGAGAAAAACGTTATGGAAGCACTTGGCAACAGTCCTCCAAATTCTCATGTCACACCAAAGGGAAAAAAGCTGCAAGTTACTGTGACTTCATTAATATAAAATAAGCAGTAATTAAATGGCATGACTGTTCCTTTGGACTAAGTACAGACAGTCAAAAAGCCCAAGGCTGAATTGATTCAGTCTTTGCAGGTTAGTCTAGGCTGCAAAGATTGAACTAATAAGCAATTGAACAGATATTTATTTGTGATTCAGGAAATGTGGCCACATGCCTACAGTGGCTCAAACCAGAAGCCAGGGGGTGCTAGAGCATGGCTCTCTGGCAGGTAACCAGCATGGGCTGTGTGTTCACTTCCTCTTCCTGCTGCCCCCAAGGTCTCTTGGATTTGCAGTTCACAGTCACAGCAGCAGAACTCCGCAGGGTTGCTCATCACTTCCTCTTCCTGCTTCCAGGATTTGTAGTCCACAGTTGCAGCCAGCAGTAAGTAATCCGGCAGGGCAGGGCAGGGCAGCTCTGTACTCAGGGAACAGTGAGTTTAACCCCCAGCCCTAGACCCCAGCAAGGGTTTCCCGGGGCGAGGGAAGGCAGTGAGCTGGCCAGTGAACCAGCCTTCACTGCTCCAGCTAGGGAGCAGAGGGGCAGGGCCAGCCCTGCTCTCTGGAGCAGACAGCACAGCCCAGTCCAGGGCTGCAAAGCATGCTGGGATGCTGGAGGACTCTGATTTAACTTGTACCAGGAACGGGTCTGCGACAGAAGTTTCATAAACCGGTTTGGCCTAAATCAGTTAAGTCTGGTACTACATTCAACCAGCTTTATCTTAACCCAGTTTCAGCTATTCTGAAACTGGTTTATGTGCACTGAACTTCTGTTCTGTTACAGGTTTAAACTAGTTTCTGATCACTTACACTGGTTTATACGTAACTTCTGTCCCTAGCCTTGATGATTAATCAGAGTATGATACAGCTTCAAAGCTTCTTACTAGTATTTATGAGTTCATTCTTCCCTTGGAGGTGAGCTGAAGTATTCCTTCCTCTTTTACAGGCACAGGCGGGGAAGTGCTCTGTTAAGGCCAGAGCCTTCTCTGTGAGAATCATTTTCAAAGTCAGGACTAGCAGGCAGGATTCCTAACTTAGCTTCTGTTTCTCAGGCTGTTCCCATGCTGCCTTCCAGTGGTAAGGACTGTTTCACTTCAGAGCAAATCCATGTCCTTTTTTAAGGAAAATTTGTTGTGTCTCATTTGTGAGTCATTCAAGAACCACATGTGGCCCTACTACCAGCAAACATCCTCCACCCCCGCCTGGGGCTTCAGATCTTTTGGCAGGCATCCTGTGTGCAGGCCCAAGCCTGGAAGCTTGGGGTTTAGATGCCCCTGATTTTCACTTGCCCTCAACCATATGGCCACAGGAGCAAGCTAGGGAGAAGTCTCCCATTTCCATAAAGGTGGTTTATAGCCGAGATCTTCCCACTGTAAGTGAAAGTGCTAACTGCATTACCTCAGCCAGTGTACTACCCCCTGCCACGTTTGTGGTTTTCCCTAGCCATCAGGAAAACCACCTTAGTAGTCATGGTATTTCCCCTGCCAGGTAAGCAACTGCATGTCCTACAACTGACCACCACCAACAGGTCTGGAAATCCAGCCCGCAGCCTGCAGTAGGAAAGGCAGCAGTTGTACCTAAAGAGGGCTCTGGTGGGTGGCATGTAGTCTTTAGCACCTTGTCTAAAAAGCTCTGGGCTTTGTGATTTAAACTTTCTGATTTTGGTTTCCAGGGAGCTGGAGTCAATGTTTGTTGTGTGTGACATGCCTGTAGTGGTGGTACTGAAGCCCAATGGAGAAGTGATTTCTGGGAATGCTGTGGAGGAAATCAAGTGTCTGGGTCCTGCCTGTTTCAAGAATTGGGAGGAAGCTGCTGACCTGATCAACAGGAATTTTCTCCTGGCAGAGGATTTTGATGACATGTCCCTGAGAAGCATCACTGACCCCATCCGCCGCCTCAAGTACAAGCTGGACAAGAAGATGAAGAAAGAAGAGAGGGAAAATGAAGAGGAAGATGCTATGTCCTGATCACTGGCGATGCATAGGGGGTACACGCAGGT